TGAAGGCCCCGGTGAGAGCCGCCTCCCTCTTCGGTAGTCCTCTGTCCCTGCAAAGCCAGGGTGGCCTCGCCCTTTCCGGGAGAAAAATGCCGAGAAATGAGCATGCTGCCCTCAAAGTTGCTACAGTAGAATATTTAGTCAACTTTATTGCATTAACCAAGGCTTTGTCTACATCCATTGGGCTCAATTGTAGTTCACATTCAAGGTCTTAATCTGTGTTTTCATCGTTTTTCTCGTGTTCTACTTCCTTCTCCAGTGGAGTGGGGGGAATCTCTTCGATTGCCGGCTCCACTCCTGTTCTCTGTTCTCAAGCTTCTTGTATCCTGGATCAAAGAATCCCATATCCTCTCGTGCTGGCTCATAGCTGAAGATTGTGATTGAAGGAATGAATGATTGCGTCATCATCAAAGAATTGCTCATCAAGTTCCTCCTTTTTCATCATGCTTTCACAATGATGAAGCATTAGCCATCGACCTTCTCTTTTCACCAGCTGCTTCTCATCAACTCTGGTGACTTCCACTTCTGGAATGAATGTGAGATCCCTGCTGCTTTTTCCAAAGCCTCAGGTACTTGCACCCTAAGCAGCTTTCGTCTTCATCTCTAATGACTCTAATGGGGCCTTGAACTGTCAAAGAGCGATTTTGCAAGTTGAGTGGTGCCTTCAAGTCACCATTTGTTCTTTGCTATTGATGCCCGGACCATGCTCCATCAGTCTTGCATAGCGAAGTATGGGCTGATTTACTTGTGAACTGAAGATCACATTCTCTTTCAAGGTCATGCAAAGAAATTTCAACACTTTTCACAACTGCATTGGGGATACGGTTCCCCTGCACATCTTGTGGCTTGGTCACTGTGCTGAACTCCAATTCTCCTGCCCCATGGCCTGCCATACTCAAAGGGAATAATGCTACATCAGCCCCACGGTCAATAATATGGCCACACCCCGATCCTCTTCCCAAAGTCTCCTCACCATGGGTTCATCCTCTGAAGATGTCAATCTCCTCAAATTCTTTGATTTCTGGCCCATCATCATCACTACCACCGTCACCATCATCATTATCATCATCATCTTCACCTGCAATGTAGAAGTGAACCACTCGAATTCCATAACCTTCTACTTCATCATCCCTCTCTCGCAAGTCAAAGATGGTTGGCTCACTATTCTCGATTCTTCTGACCACTGGTTTGGTCTCTGCTGAGCTGCTCTGCTGGCTAACATTGGCTTGTTGTTGACCAACTGTATGAGTAGTGACTGATGCTCCTCCTGAAGATGAATGGGCTGGATCACTTGCATTGCAACATGTCGAATATTGTTCCTCCAACAGTCTCGGGCAAGATGTCTTGGCTTTCCACAAGTGTAGCATGTTGCTACACCTTTTCCTTTTTGATCCTTTCCTTTACTTTTGCCCTCCTGATTGCCCTCCTGATCACCTTCTTTTCCTTTCTGATCTCCCTTCCTTTCTTTCCTGTGCCCTTTGCATCCTTACCTTTGCCTTTCTGATGGTCATACTTGCCCTTCTTGCCTTTACCTTTGGCATCTTGGACTCGATCACTGTCCATTGGCATGGATCCTTTGCAGTCTGTACTGCTACTTGCCACCATTGAAGTAGCCCACTTCTGCTGAGAACGATCCCATTGCAACACTTGTTCCCTCAAAGTTGAGTGTTGAACATTGTCGCTAATTGTCAAGTTCACGTATGATTTGAGCTGTCCACCTACACATTTCAAAAGAATAGCAGATTTCAACTCTTCTTGAGTTGTCATCCCTGCCTTGACCATCTCATCAAATACTTCTTCAAGCTTCAGAAGTTGAGGTTGTAGTGCACTGTTCATTGAACATGCAGGCCGTCAAGTGGCTGTTCCCCAAAGTGCTAGTCCGCTAGCCTTTGAAGTAGGTTTCAAAGCTTTGTTCAAACTGCTCCAGAGACCAAATCCATTAGAGTGCTCTTCCCCTCATCAATGAAGCTAACAATCCATAGAGCTTGATGCACCTGGTTTTCTCATCTCCAGTTCCCAAGTCAACATCAAGTCTCTCATTTGGCTTGTCATGAACCTCTTTCAAGCCCTTCATCCACTGAGCTCCAATATTTTTCAATTACCCATGGCCAGCCTGCTGCCCAAGTGCAGCAGCGCGCGAACCCTCCTCCCACCTTGCCCCTTGTTCTGGCAGCTTTGAGGAAGCTTTAACTTGGTGCTGCGTAGGCAACAGGCAGGCGAAAGCTGCCCCTGCCAGCCTTGCAGGGTGGTACCTGCAAGGCTGGTTTGGCCCTGTGTGTCATCCATTGCAAGAAAAAGGGCGCAAGGGGTATGGGGGTATCGAGGGTTGACCACTCTCTAAATGCTTTGATCTCTTCTTCTTGTGAGTTATAGTCAAAGATGTTGGGCTTTGCAAGGAGTCTTGACCAATCAGTTGTTGATGACTTCTTGTCTCCAACTGCTTGCTTCACTGCCTCAGCTGCTGATGTTGTCGCTTGCGTGCTCTGTGCTATAACTGTAAAGATGTCTCTGATCTCCTCCATCTTATTGTCTTTCTGACAATGTACGGGCAGTTCACAACAGTTTATCACCAGTTCAGTTGTTTGGGTTCCAAAGACCCCAAATCTATGGCTCGAAATCGCACCCGGGATCCCAGTGACCTACGGGCTTTTCTCTGGAGCTCAAAGGGGGTTGCCCAGTTGGTTTGCCCTTGTCCTTGCTCCGCTACCATGCGAACTTTTTCCTTGACGCAAAAGGGCTGTGAGTACATCACATGATGCTAAACATGCTATAAATGCAAACTGTGATTTGCATTGAAACTTCTTTTCAAAAACTAGACGACGAGTGGCCCGAAAGCATTTTTCATCAGGTAGGAAGTCAGAGTGCGAGTTATCTGTTAAGTGTGCAGTGTGAAGTGTTAAGTCGAGTGAGTTGAGGTAGTGTGTGGGTTTCTGTGTGTGTATCTATGTCCGTGTGTATATGAGTCTCTGTCTGTGTGCGCGTGCCCGAGTAAGTTGAGGCAGTGCGTGGGTCTCTGTGTGTGACGTGTGTGTGTATGAGTCCCTGTCTGTGTGTGTCTGTCCATGTCTGCTGCTGAAGGTCTTCACTGTACCTATACTGAACGAATTAGCAAGCAGGCCTCCCAAACCCCCCACCGGCGGCCAAGCGGTGACAGCCCAGCTCATCGTCGTGAGCATTTGGGCTGCTGGTAAGGGGAGAAGCAGCGTGCACGCCTCCAGGAAATCTCACTGAAAAAAGCAAGCTGGAATGAAGCGTACTAAAGTTGCACTACAAGTCGCCAGTTCTAGTAGCTACAAGAAGCATTTGACTCCCCAGATACTCCGCGTACTAAAGTTGTACTACCAAGTCGCCA